CGGCGGTTTGTTCAGTCTTCAACTCTTTGTTAATACTGCTCGGTGTGGTAAAATTCTACTACCTGTATCATGATATGCCAAGATGGTCGTGTGGGTATCAAAGAAAGATAAGAGAAGAGAACAAGACATGCAATATTTTTATTACGAGTCTTATACCAGCTGGATATACCATGACAAACTAAGCATGATCTTCCTTGTGGGTATCAATATAAGACAAGATAATATTTTTATTTGTAGTCTTATACCAGGGTACATCAACTTTTTTTTAAATGATTCAAATTATACCATGATATACCAAATGTTCCTTGTGGGTATATAAGACAAGACAAGACGATATTTTTATTCGGGGTCGTATACCAGCTGGAACCATGCATGTGTACATCAACGTTTTCCAAATAGTTCAGAATTACAATACATTCTAGTCATTAATTACACTATATATAACAAGCTATTAATAATGAATAGACGAAAAAATGTTTCTTTGATCGATCGTCCACAGAAATCAACCAATCCTGAGGCCAATGGGCTTGCTTAACTGATGGCACAATAGAGCTGGCATGCGATTAAATCAGTTTCTTAGAGTTCCATTTGAAGTTGTTTGACGTGCGTCATGCGTCATCTTTTCGTTCAGTTTGCGTCAGTGTTTGCGTCACTTGAGAAAACAAATTTGCCGATACAGACTTAATTTCATAGATTGAACTTTACAGATGACCTTGAAATTCTCTTGCAGACGCCCACGGAATCGTAGTTAATGTCTACTTAATAAACAAGACCGCTAAATAAACAGGATTGTTTGGCAGAAAATATGGAGAGAAAAGTATAGTGTCCGCTTTCTAATTGAGACTGTTTATACCCAACTTGATAATTTGTAACTTAGAAGTATTCTGATACAATACTCTGCCTGATTACCTAGTGGTTTTGTTTAGTGAGCGCGTAAAGTAGCGGCGCGGTTTCTTCCTTGCTGGAGCTCCCTATTTTGGCCTTCCCCACAGAACTACGACTGAGGTTGATACAACGATTCTTTCAATATCAACTTTACTGTCTGCGGATAATGACAATTTACTATAGAAATATATATTACTCCTTGCACAATTTCCGTATTTAAGTGTGTTAATTAAATGGGTTTTGAACCATGAGCGCGAAGCACGAGACACGCCTGAGGTAGAAAAAAAGAAAAATAACTCCTTTCTTTCCTCTCGCACGTTTCGCGCTTCGCGCTCGCGCCGCAGAACCCGCTTGAACGCCCCAAAAACGCCTGCGCAGGCTACATATATTGGTTTGTCGCTTTTTTGCGGAGCACTTATCGTCTTCTTTCCGTACACTTGTCTAAGTGTCAGACGTCATTTCCTTCGTGAGACTGACCCCCAGAGATCTGTCTGTACGTGTTTATTTTCACGATTTGTTTACGCAGGGTAAAGTAATTATTTTCGTTCAAGACGTGATGAAATACACGTATCCGACTTGCCTACTTACCAACTCTCGGTGGAAGTAAACTCCCACACAATCTGTATGTGTAACCGATTTTATAGTCAATGTACTGGATGTACCGTTTGCTTCACCTATAGCGATATATTGCTATGTATGTATATTAATCAAAGTTAAATAGACGTTGAATTACCTTAACTGTGGTATATTATCGTCCTTTTGCCTCAAAAGCGGTTTTTTGAACGATTTTGAAGGATTTTGAGTTCGCCGTTTACTCAAACCAAGTCATCCACTGTTACTTTTTAGTAAACCTAAACCTGGAATTGAAGAGAGAGGACCGAATCCAAATTCAGAGAGACGGAGATGGAGATGATGTTTTGCTCATAAAACCTATTGTATTTCAGACGTTCCCGTTCCCGTTGTCGTCGCTATCGTCAGTAGTTTCGTACGGTCCCTAATAAGACACAAGACGAAACCTTTAGAGTTAATCGTTCCTTCTTCCTTTATAACTTTAGCGGAGAAGGTAAAATCATTACTTTCCAGTTAACACTGCAACTAAGGGCTACTGCAGGCATGGTTCGTCGTTACACTCCTTTTAGACTTGGGGAAAAAAGAGTTAATTAATCCTGTCATAATGATATAATAAACGACGATTCAATTTACAGGATGTAGGAAAAAATTTTTACACACAAGCCGGTTCGATCGATGGAAGCGAAAGGTCCTGTGTAAAAAAATTTTTCCTTTCCTGTAAATTGAATCGTCGTTTATTGTACACTCCTTTTAGTCATAATGACGATTTTAAATATCGAGCCTTATTAACACAGATGCTTTCGGGATGAAAAATTTCGATTCTCAATTATTACGGATCGAGATGAATCACGAAACAGAAAGCTGGATTCACAAACATGATACTGTTTAACCTCCATATGCGGCCACCCCTCGTTAGCGACCGCGACCAATTTTTGGCCTGACGGTTTTTTTTTTATTTTCAGTTACTTTTAACCTCTTGTAAGCGACCCCTTGACGTATGAATTGATATGGTTTCTCTTCGCTGAATGTACTGCAACGCTCACGAACAACATGAAACTACACTTATACATAACTTAGAAACTGCATGCAATGAGTTATCTTCCAAAAAGTAGTAGTGTAGTTTGGACCCCTTTTCTTCCCTCTTTGTCGATTCTCGTAAGCGACCACTAAATCTTCGCATTTTCGGTGTTCGCTCATGGGAAGTTCAATTGTATTTTAATAGTCATCGTCATCCATCTCCATTGCTGTCGGAATGCGTTGGACAACATACTCCAATGGACTTTTTCGACGATGAGGAAGCCATTTTGAAGCACAAAGGATTAAGGGCCGTCCAGGGGGCAAAATGAAAACAAAGATGGCGGAAGGGTACAGTGGGTGCGTGAGTGCGCGAGTTTCTTGTGTTATTATGGGTAAAGGTGATCGATGCGCCGTCTTAAATGTATGACAGACAGTTTAAAGACAAGTATGTCATCAAGCCTCACATCCACTATTTTGATGGAAGCAGCAAGCTACGACTTTGGAAATGCCGAAACGCAGATCACTAAAAGACCTGGACGAAGCTGTTGAATTGGCAAAACTATAAATGTAAACACCAGGATTTGGTCAAATCATTTTAAGTTTGGTCGACCAACGGATGTTGGCCTCACTCAGTATTATATCTGAGAGAATGTAGTGAGCAAGTGAGCATTAAAAGGAAGCCGCCAGCCGTAGGTAGACAGTTTTTCCCTCTAGCGCCAACTGTTCAACTCAAAAACGTGCCAAGCTAACAGTCACTGAAACAGTGACTGAAGCGAGCGCTCACCATGAAACAAAAGTTCGTCGATGGCCAATAAGGAAAATTGTAAATACAAGACAGTCGATTGTCAAGTTTCAAGTAAATGTGAAGAAACGAAACATCTTAAATAAAGAGCAAATTGGAAGTCTTAAGGAACAAATTCACAATTAAAGATCTTCAACCAAGAACTACATTTACTTTTGACAGCAACAAACACTCAGATGCTGTCGACAACATTAAAAAAGGTGTCATAACAAAGAAAGTACAAAACGAATTGCAATTGTGGTTTTTGACAATGTGATTTTGTTATTCATAAGTAAATTCTTAATTTTCACGGCAAAAAAGGCCGCCAAATTAACAGTTGTTCCACGAGGTGCGTTGGACATGAGATAGTAGGTAGCCAACGAAGCACGTAGCGCCGAGTTGGCAATAATCATCTCATATCCAACAAGCGCGAGTGGAATAATTGTTTTAATAAAAAAGCCCACAAAATATCGTGAAATCTTCCCGACTTTATTTGTAAACAGAACCAAATTTTGGCTGATATACCATGATGGCTAAGCCAATCAGAGCTCTAGAATTGCATTTTCCAATTATTCAGTTTTTAATAATTGGTAATATAAACATGTAAGAAACTGAACTAGGCAGCCGTGACACAGCCCCTCTTTAGAGAACTAACCCGGGTCATGTTAAGTTTCGCTTGTATAAATATTTCAGGGAATTTTCAAGGCAACTCTTTATTGGCCTTGATTACTAAACGATCAAGATCGCCTGCCTTGTTGCTACTTATTGTTAGTATTGACAGTATTTACAAATGACATTTTGTGTTATTTTACCAAAAATTCTTCCTTTTTTATTTATATAAAGGAATTGTCTTCTTGCAGTCTCTGCTGAAACTACTACTAGTAGATTTGAAACTGCAGCAGAGTCACTCAACGTATTACGCGTCTCATCTGCATATATGTCTACGGTTGATCAGGAAACTGCATGAGGAAGATCGTTCGCAAAGATGATAAATAGTAACGACCCCTAGACCGATTCTTGGGGAATCTGTGTTGTGCATGCTCCCCGTCGATAACAACTGATTGCATTCTACCATTCAATTAGTCCTCAAAAACAGAAGGAGTTCGTCTGATGCTTTACACCGTTAATGCCTCGAGCTTTGACAAAAGGATGTCATGGTCAATGAAGTCAAAGACCTTTTTGCGCTGCCACACCCCACTCTGATGTGATCTTTGTCCATGTCTGACATTTAACCGATTGATTAAGCGAGTGAGGGCTGTCTCGGTAGAATGTGATCTACGGAATCCGGAATACAAATTGTATAGCAAGTCACTACTTATCATATAGATGTCCAACTCTTGGTGAATATCCTTCCCAGAAATTTAAAAGAGCAAAGGGAACAGTGTTACCATCTCGAAAAAAGAGATCACCAAAAAGGCGAGGTTAATGCAAATAATGCCAAAAGCCCCGAATAATTTAGGTTCTAACTATTTAATCACAAAACCCGCGGATCAAAATTTATCAATTATCAGTCCAGCTGAGAACTTGGCTTTCTTGTACTATTATCTAAATCACACAAGGAACACAAAAGACATGTACTCTATTGCATCGTCTCTAGATGACTCTTTTAAAATAAAATTTCACTTCTTTATAAGTTGGCATATCAAAATATTTATTCAGATGATAGAAAAACTTTTGTTTAGCATGAGTAAAAATCTGCAGTTTGACGGGTATTTTTGCGCAGTATCCTCGACATCCATTCTAAATATACTCTTGAAAATGGAATTAAACAATTCCTTCTTCAAATAGAATAAACTAAAGTAGAGAAAGAATTTTTCTTCTTTTAAAGGGAGGATCCTTAGTTTACGAAGATTCAGCAGACTCATCGTGTTAAAAAACGTATACAAACAGGTTCTATCCTCCATAGTAAAAGAAATTTTAGGTCGCCCATCGCCAAGCTTCCTACTGTTTTAAAGGCATTTGGTTCAAAATGACACCCAATGTTCAAGAAGATAAAATGTGAAATTTTTTACAAGTTTGAGACCCGATACTCTTGAAACCATACCCTGTTCAGCGGCATGTACCCATCTAGGCCAAGTTAGGGAGTCCTCTTTCCCTCCGTGTGGGTCGATCCACTTTCAGTCATTTTGAGTTGAATCATCCTCGTGCTTTACAAGTGCCACAGGTACGTAACCTTCGTTAACGCGCAAGTTTAGTTTACGAGCGAGCATTAGCCCTATTTGCTCCTTGAAATGCAACATTAACAAACCAATAGCAATTCCAATACAGGGAAACAGGGTTAAATTCACTGTCAGGGCGGTACTGGGTGCTTCGTTTGCAAGAGTCACGTGATCGGGATGTCTTGACGTACGGAAACATTGGTAAGACGAGTTCATCAAGCCCCATTTTTCACGAAAATGTTCCACATGTTTGTAAACGTCATTCTTCGTTTTACAGTCGTAGTTCCGAAGTTTGTACGAACACGTTTCTGAGATCCGTCGTCGATCATTCACGACCAAAGCTTCCCGTGTTGATAAATTGTCGAATGAAACGTAGATTTGAAGGCATGGGTAATAAATCAAACACTTTGATTCGCTTTTGAGCTCTTTACAGCGGCAATGAAGTTTCTTGCCAGAATCCATGTTCAGAAATGTTTTCTTGACCTTACAGGTTCCTATATGGTATTGCAGGCTTTCAAGTTTTGGCAGAGTCACTGTAACCATTACAATGAGGAGAGTCAAGCCTGAGGAGACTAAAATTGCGTTGCCCAGTTTTTTCACCCTCTTGACAATTTTAACTTGAGGCGAGTTGCCGTTTAGATGCCGAGTCATGATTCACATTATTTAAAATGGCATTCACTAGGTGTGAGCCTCGTTTGCCTTGCCTATTGGAGAGATCAAACAGAAGTGTATTTAAATGGCACACGGTAGATAAAATGCCCGGCGGGTACTCTCTATAATTGCCTATACGGGGAGGCTCCGCCCCAAAGGGGTACCTATTTCAGGCTTCAGGTCAGCATGAAAGGGTAGGGATTCCACTAGTTAAACTATTTGAGAGGGTAGGAAAATCTGTCATTTAAGTCCGTAAAGAGGCTCAAACTTGGGCTAACAGATGTACAGTTTTATGGCTGTGAAAAAGTCAAGAAAACGTTCTGGTTTTTTCGGTTCATTTACAGCAGTTAAAGGGGATGCAAAATTTTAAAGTATGTATTTGAAAGGGGTACTCTTTGTCAATAGTAGGTATGCGAAAGGGGTACCTTTTCTGTTAAAAATGGTATCTAAAACTTTTAACAGGGTAAGGGGTTGCACCCCGGTGCGGAGCCTCCACGTACCAGTAAAACTTTGTTGAGGGTAACCCCCCCACTCCCGGGGATAAAAAGGCGAGGTAAAGAAGTAATGTCGACTGAGAAAAAGGAATTCTGAATTCTCAAGACTATAAAAAAAAAATGAATATTACGGAAGAAGCTATGACTCATGCTAGTGGATAATGCTGAAAAGGGATAAGGGATAATTGAAACCACTGTTCCCCAAGTTCGAAACATGACCATCAGCACTGCTGCGTGACAATCAAAAAACAAGGATTATATGGGGGAAAATAGGATTGTTTCTGTGACCAACGAATGTGGAAGGAATTAAATAAAATCGGCAAACCTCACTTTTCACAGGTGTGTGTTTCTTCCTTCCTGTGTGGTTGAATTCCGAGGCGATTTTATGGGTCTCGTTGGAACCTGTTTGTTGTCTCTAAAAATGGCCGTGAATCGGCTCGGGAACCACACAGGAAAGAAGAAACACACAACTTTTTAAAAGTTGTTCAAATCCTTTCACATTCGTTGGTTACAGAAACAATCATTTTTCCTCCATATAAAACCTTTTATTTCGAACGTTTCGTATCAAACATACAGTGCCGATGATTTCAAGCTTGCGTGACCTGCGGTGAAACTATATGTTGGCGGAAAAATACAGATATATTTTTACCCCTAAATTGTCTTTATATCTTTTTTCTATGTTGGACTTTTATTGTAGGTTAGCGTGCTATTTTATTGCGAGTTGGGTTCTATCGTATTACCTTTAAAACCGGATTTCATCGGCTAATAATTGAATACAAACCTTGAACATAGGACTCTAGTTTCCTCACAAGCAGGAAATTGAATTTGATTTCAAGGAACGTGTTTCAATAAAAATGAATAGGCTATGTTACCTTTCACTCTGTACGTGCGTATTTGAAATCATTTGAAATGCCTTTAATATTAGGTCAGTACTTGTAATTTTAACATAAAGGCAGTGCCTACCGATGTGAAAGGCTTTTACGGGGATATTAGATATTTTTCCACGCGGAACTTTCCTCGCAATTTCGCTGCTCTATTTACCTTTTCGTGTCATTTCATTGCCGTATTCAACGTCACCAAAATATTACCGTAACATTCGGCAGAAACGGCACAGTGGAACGCGTAAATCAAGACAATATTTCAGCCACTTTAAATAAATAAGAATTTCATTGAAAATTCAAAGCAAAGCTTGTTTCTTTGCCAGGCGGAAAGGCAAGTTTTTGTCTTCAAAAAAAATAATACTACTTACCGTCGACTACCACTATCCCACACAACAATTCTTTCTGTCGACTTGAATATTTAGGTATGTTTTTGTATCTGCAAGGCAGTTTAGTAGATAACGCAACACAATATTGCTTTTCGCTGCCTCACGACATGCAAAATTTTATATTTGCATAAAATATAACTAAGAAAGACGGAGATAAAATTGTTTAAATTAGCAATTTATCTATAAATGAAATTTAAAAAAGTAGTTCGAGGGACGAATAATTTTAAGATATGTAGTTACCTGGCGTGAAAAAGAAACTGAGTATATTTCCCGACGATTTATGATGAAAGTGAAGACTTGTTAGAGGGGGGGGTTGAAGAGTAGTCTTTTCCACTAATGCTATGGAAGGACAATCTAAACATCTGTCTTTACATTGTTTTCGTCCGTTTCATCTTCCTTGGAAACCGTAGTTCTCCTCTATTGTTGGCGAGTATCGAATAAACATGACTATCAGAACATATCAGGGAAACCTCGTAAACGATATAATTCATTTGAACACAATTTGAGCAAACTATTTGAATACGAAAATTTAGCAAGTTGTTCTCTGAGGTCACTAAGATTGGTGAATATTCATGTTTCCCAGTAAGACCATCGAATCATTGAAGCATTTCAACGACTGACTGGTCGATCCTTAAATCCTTGCAAGTCCTACAAAGCTTATGTCGGCAGTTAACTGCAAATTTAATCGGCTGTCGCAAAAACAAAGCGCTGCTTGAAACATATCAAAAAGTTCCATCGCTATATAAAAACATAGCCGTAGCTGATGGATAAAACTCATTTGCATCAAACGTGATTTATTTTCCGTAGAGCTATGACTAGTCGTGAGTTAAAGAGCCTTAACGGGCATTTCCCTTTCAATTCAACTGTGACTACATCGGTTTTTTTACTGTAATTCTCCCCAGTTGAACTCACATTTAAAAAAGGATTGATACTATTACACCATTTTTAACTTCCAAAAGAAAGGAAATAAAAGCAAGAGGGATCTTTTGGCACGGTTTCATACCGGCTGAAATCGCATGCTCTTTATCTCAGAGTTGAATTTATTAAATTAGACGAAAAAGTGTTTAGAAACGAGATTGAAGCAGGAGCCCATGGAGCAGGGTTACGGGCTCCCGATTGAAGTAAGAAATCAAAATCAGATCGTAAATAATACTTACACTAAAGCCTGTCGCCTTATGTTTTGACGGAAGTCTGTGAAGGTAAGATTAAATGAGCCTTCCGGAAATATTTTGAATAAAGAATAGAATAGTTCTTCATGGATGATGTAAAGAATAAATCCGCCTCAGCCTTCGGATTCAGCACATAACACTCCTCGATCTTCGACTTACACAGTATATCTGATCATAGCCATGTCACACCTACCCCTTGTTCCCCTTGTTACTCCTTGTTACCCCTTGTTACCCTTGTTAAATAAATAATAAATAATACTTAAATTAAAGCCTGTCGCCTTATGTTTTGACGGAAGTCTGTGTAGAGGTAAGATTAGATGAGCCTTCAGGAAATATTTTGAATAAAGAATAGAATGGTTCTTCACGGATGATGTAAAGAATTAATCCCCCTCAGCCTTCGGAATCGGCAAATAACAGTCCTCCAACTTCGACTTACACAGTATATCTGATCATACCCATGTCACACATACCCCTTGTTCCCCTTGTTACCCCTTGTTACCCCTTGTTACCCTTGTTAAAGAAATAATAAATAATACTTACACTAAAGCCTGTCGCCTTATGTTTTGACGGAAGTCTGTGTAGAAGTAAGATTAGATGAGCCTTCAGGAAATATTTTGAATAAAGAATAGAATGGTTCTTCACGGATGATGTAAAGAATTAATCCGCCTCAGCCTTCTAAATCGGCACACAACCCTCCTCGAACTTCGACTTACACAGTATATCTGATCATACCCATGTCACACATACCCCTTAATACCCCTTGTTACCCTTGCTATCCCTTGTTACCCCTTGTTACCCCATGTTACCCCTTGTTGCCCTTGTTACCCCTTGTTACCCCTTGTTCCCCATGTTACCCCTTGTTCCCCCTGTAACCCCTTGTTACCCCTTTGTTACCCCTTGATCCCATGTTACCCCTTGTTAACCCTTGTTCCCCATGTTACCCCTTGTTACCCCTTGCTACCCTTGTTACCCCTTGTTACCCTTATTACCCCTTGTTACCCTTGTTACCCTTTGTTACCCTTCTTACCCCTTCTTACCCCCTGTTACCTCTTGTTCCCCTTGTTCCCCTTATTACCCCTTGTTACCCCTTGTTACCCCTGTTACCCCTTGTTACCCTTGTAACCCCTTGTTACCCTGTTCCCCTTGTTACCCTTTGTTGCCCCTTCTTACCCCTGTTTACCCTTGTAACCCCTTATTACCCCCTGTTACCCTTGTTACCCTTGTTACCCCTTGTTACCCTTGTTACCCCTTGTTACCCCTTGTTACCCCTTGTTTCTCCTTGATACCCCTTGTTACCCCTTGTTACCCTTTGTTACCCCTTGTTACCCCTGTTACCACTTGTTATCCCTTGTTAACCTTGTTACCCCTTGTTACGCTAGTTACCCCTTGTTACCTGTTGTTACCCCTTGTTACTCCTTGTTACCCTTTTTACCGCTTGTTACCCCTTGTTGCCATCGTTACCCTTGTTACCCCTTGTTCCCCTGTTACCCATTATTACCCCTTGTTCCCCTTGTTACCCCTTGTTACCCTTTGTTACCCCTTCTTACCCCTGTTAACCCTTGTAACCCCTTTTCCCCTTGTTACCTGTTGTTACCCCTTGTTACCCCTTGTTACCCTTCTACCGCTTGTTACCCCTTGTTTCCCCTTGTTCCCCTTGTTACCCCTTTTTTCCCTTGTTTGCCTTTTTTACCCTTTTTAACCCTTATTACCCTTTTTTCCCCTTTCTGCCCTTGTTACCCCTTTTTACCCCTTTTACCCAGTGTTGCCCCTTTTACCCTTTTTTGCCCACTGCATCCCTCGTCTGCCCTGTNAACTTCTTACCCCCTGTTACCTCTTGTTCCCCTTGTTCCCCTTATTACCCCCTTGTTACCCCTTGTTACCCTTTGTCACCGCTTGTTACCCTTGTTACCCCTTGTTACCCCTTGATCTCTTTTTCACCCCTTGTTACCCCTTGTTACCCTTGTTACCCCTTGTTACCCTTTGTTAGCTTTTGTTACCCTTTGTTACCCCTTCTTACCCCTGTTACCCCTTGTTACCTTTGTTATCCCTTGTTGCCCCTGTTACCACTTGTTACCCCTTGTTACGCTTGTTACCCCTTGTTACCCCTGTTTCTCTTGTTACCCCTTGTTACCCTTTGTTACCCCTTCTTACCCCTGTTAACCCTTGTTACCCCTTATTACCCCCTGTTACCCCTTGTTACCCTTATTACCCCTTGTTACCCTTGTTACCCCTTGTTACCCCTTGATCTCCTTGTTACCCCTTGTTACCCTTTGTTACCCCTTGTTACCCCTGTTACCACTTGTTACCCCTTGTTAACTTGTTACCCCTTGTTACCCCTGTTCCCCTTGTTACCCCTTGATCCCGTTGTTACCCCTTTTTACCCTTTGTTCCCCCTGTTACCCCTTGCTACCCTTTGTTACTTCTTGTTACCCCTTTTACCCCTTGTTACATTTGTTACGCCTTGTCACAAAACGCGGGTAGGTAAGTTCAGTATTTGCAATAGAGCTTAAATACTTAAGCTCGCTATATGAAAGCAGTGGGCAAAAGAAAATGTGACATTTATGTGATTCATTGTTTTAAATAATCCAGTCTTTTTACCCTGAATTTGCAGGTGGAACGTCGGGCTGTTTTTGTCAACAAATGGAGGAACCATATGAATTTGTAAAGGTTGGATCGGGTTTTCGAAGAGCTCTGAAAAGAGCTCCCGATCCGTGACATTTTTCTTTTCATGTTCATTGCAAGATTTGATTGGCAGGTGCAATGAACCAGCTGATGCAAGCGATCAGTTTAAAAGTTCGCGGCTTCTCTGGACCGTTTTACAATAGTAATAATTTTTTTAATTTAAGCATGCCTACACTGGAAAGTACATGCTGGCCATCACATCCACTTTCACTCGTTCTATTCATTGTACTGATCAAGCGTATACGCGTGGCAGATTGTGTTAATAAACTCTAGTGATTGTTTAATATATAAGTTAAAATTCGCGGCACCAGCTAATGACATACTTCACAAGTGAGTGGTTTTCAATGGCGTATTGTTATATTTGACAGCCATTGTTATTCATACCTGCGCTTAAAACAATAGCTCGCTGGCCTCGGGTACACTGCGTTTCTACCAGACTTTTTCAAACTCGCAGGGATAGAGGATCTTGTCCATAAATTTAAAAAGTTAAAACGTATTCTGCTTAAGGAAAGGGCAATCTTACATATTCTGCCCGTGGTTTTGAGGATTTTATTACTGGTTTCCAGTAAGTCCCAAAGTCGGCTTCCATACAATAAATGGCCTCTTTTTAGCAATTTTAGACTAATTTTCAAGTGCCGCAGAGGGATATTCCTTCTGCTACGTAAAATTTATATATTTGGTGCTTAAACCGTAGATAAATCATTCATTTTTGATATTGCGTCCGTGGTTCTGTCATTTTGGGGCTAAAAAAGTCGCGCCAAGGAGATTTATCAACGCTGGTGGACCAAAAATGGCCCATTCTTCTCTTATTTGGAGCTTATTCAAAGCGCTCATGCATTCGAATTTGCCGCTTCGGCGGTCATGAATAATTAATGATGTCCACTCATTCTGCGCGATGATTCATAATCAGCCTCATGCAATAATTGTCATTAACGGTGACGTTGCATGATTGGTGCAACCGCTGCTTTTAGCCTTTGTTGGGCTATGCTCTGTGACACTGTACCCCAATAGCGTTTACCCTGGCAAAAAAACCATACCAGATAGGGCTTCTGCTCACACATAAGAACGGAAGAACCGTTACGGTGATCATGATTTTGGCGCGATTTCTGTAACGGAGCGAAGTTGCGCCGCGCGGATCTCTAAGCCGCATAGCTCTCGTTTCAGGGCGAAAAGCAATCCGGTACGGTGCTAACATAGTCTTAGTTCCTTTTCCTATTCGGTGAGTGAACAATCACTCTAAAAGTAACTTAAATAATTCTAAGGGCGCTTTCCAAAAGTCAGATCTGGCCGGGCGGGCCATGGACGGACCAGTCATTTAGAAATGAAATAGCGGGCTTTTTCCAAGAGCTTTTGCTGAAAAACAATTTCCTTCGTTCATGCTACCATAAAATTCCGAAAATAAGGCACGGGGCTTATATTTTTCAAAGGCCCTTTTTGAGGGGCTTATTTTTGGAGAGGCTTATATTCGGAGGGCTTATCTACGGAGGGAAACTTGCGTTTCAAAATCGACTGGGCTAGCCTTACAGTTGGAAGTAAATTTACCGTTTTTGCTTTGTTTTACTTTGTATTTGAGGGCAATTTTCCAAGTACAAGCCCCGGGGGGGGGGGGGGGGGGTTGGGGCTTATATTTGGAGGGGCGATTTAACGAAGAGTTTTTTGTGTTACCGGTTTGGGGGGCTTATATTTGGAGGGGCTTATACATGGAGGGGCTTATTTTCGGAATTTTGCGGTATTCAGGATTTGACCTCTTTGGCAGGATAGTTTTGATAAAGAGTGAAATTCTCGTTACGACGGGAATAGCCTGGCCGGTCAGTTCTTACAAATAGAAAGCACCTTAAGATACCATGAAATAAAACTGACACAAACATAATAAATGGGAGACGTCGATGGGAGTAGGTCGAAATTCTTATTACTGTGTCAGTAACTCGTCCTCACAAAATCAAAATATATAGGACTTATATACGCTTAAGCAATAGTTCAGTATTTCGTCTGAAGTGTACCAAGTAATTGACAGGAAACCCAACAGACTTCTTCATCCAGAGAACAGTAGAAAGTCTTGCAATGGATTACTGAAGAGGTTAGAGGAATGTAATTTAATTATACGTCCTTCTAAGATGAATTATAAATATAATTTTTAGACTACAAGTAGTCCCTCATTTTCCCTATGAGGGATAGTAGAGCGACCAAAACGCGAGCGCGCGTGAAAATCACCCCACGCGAGAAAGGCGAGACGCGGCGGTGAGAGAGAAACCTCATTTTTCTCTCTTCCCGCCGCGTCTCGCCTTTCTCGCGTGGCGTGATTTTCAGGTGCGCTCAAGTTTTGCTCGCTCTACTATCCCTGAGGGAAGATGACGGACTACTCGTAGTCTAAATAATTTTAGCTTTTATGAGTTTTAAGCATTCTTGCCATGGCTTCTTTTGAACTCCTTGTTACTTCGTCAGCATTCATACCGCGCATGCCTAACTGTTCAACTTCCATTCACGTCATCTGACCTTGGAAAGAAAGCACGCAAAAGTTACAAAACGTCATTTTGACCTGGAACATGTATAAAGAAGTTTAAGTTTTACTTCTTCTAGAAACTACAACAGCAAGACAAAAAAAACAAAACAAAACAAAACAAGGACCAGGGGCCAGTTTCGTCAATCCCGAAGCTTCAGACGTTCAGCTCAGTCAAACTCTTTTAATTGCTTTATAGCCAGATGTTAGCACTTACGTCTGACATTAGGATGTATGCATCTTTTCTTTCCTGAAAGGAATACTTGCTATAAACCAACCTGACTATGTCTTGTTTTCTGTGTTTTCGTTGGGACGCCGTCCGCTGCAGACTAAACAACAGATACAGCTCAGTAACTATCTGTCATCCTTAAGGCTGGTTTTCACCAGCGACGGAGTCGGAGTCTGAGTGGGAGTCGTAATCAGAAGCGTAGAACTCTACGATCTAGTGAAAATAGCGTTCTGATCCCGCTTAGGACTCCGTCGTTTACGATAAAGTGAAAACTTGGTTGTCGGAGTCGCAAGCAGAAGCGGAAGAACTAAACCAATCACAAAGCGCAGGAACGTGCATTGTGTCCGACAATCTGGTTTTCACCTGGTAAATCGTAAGCGACGGAGTCATAAGCGGAGTCGGAAGAAAATGGAAACGTTCTGATTCTTCCGACTCCGATTCCGTCGCGCTTATGACTCTACTTACGACCCCGATGTTTAATTTTTACTGAACAATAAGCGCTCTTACGACGCGCTTATGACTCCGACTCCAACTCCATCGCTAGAAGTGAAAACCAGCCTTTTATGTATGTAAACAAACGGCGGAGGCAAAATAAAGGATGCGTTCGATTGATGGTATTCCGGAAGAAGAATGCGCGAACGTTTTGTTGCAAATCATTTTTGGGCCAGTTTTGTTGTTTACATGAAGGTGGGAGACCCCAGGTAAGCGAGGTAACCCGCGTACATGTAGGTGGGGTAACCCGCCTGTCCATATAATCTCTCATTTTAATTTGATCACGTTTATATGATAGGTGGGGTGACCCGCCACATGTTTCCTCACCTACCTGAGGTCCCCCACCTCCATGTAAACAGGCCCTTAGACTAGTACCACGACCTGACCGGTTTATTTTTAGATATACCGTTTAGAGCATTTTTCCCGGGAAAATGGAAGCTCCGCTTCGCCTATGAGCCAAGCGTATTCGTGTTCGCTAAACCAACACACACAAAAAGCCGCGCAAGTTTGTGACTGTTTGATAAACCTGCCAAATTCTTATATTCTTGTTGTTGCTTTAGTTTTATTCGTGCGTAACCATTTCAAGGTCAAACGAAAATCGCTTTATGTAAACTTCTGTATATATTCGTTTTTACTTACTTCTTTCCACTTTATGAATGTGTGTGTTTATTTTGGTTACTTTGAGGAGTCTGCAGTCCTTGCCAGAGTAGCCGCCAGCTTTTTATTAAAAAGAAAAAGAAAAGAGTTCTAATCAACGTATTCATTCATTTTGTAAACAAGAGGTTAGGGCAGCATTTGCAAAGAATTGTCATCTAACAGCTATAAACTACAGATTACGAGATAAACTAGTTTAGTTGACTAGATATGGGCAGAGAAAAAATGCAGACGATTCCCGGGCATTATAAGTCATACCCTTATACAAATTAAAACAAGCTTGAAAAAAGAACTTCTGTTTTCGAAAATTTTCAAGGGAATTAATCGTTTTGTTCAGCTGAGAAACGAAACGGGTGACTACGTACCTGGAGGTCTGGGAACACTGGGCCCTGAGGACGGAGTCGGGGGCCTTGACACAGTACTTGGATTAGTCGCTCCTGTTGTAATTGAAGGTAAAGAGTACAGAGCAAGGAACGCAGTTTCTTACGTATATAGAAATATAGCCAGATATAAAAGCGACATATGTAAACATTTCTGAATGTAAAACGTTCTCCTTAGGGAGCTTATAAGCAGCCGCGTTTTCGAGCGACGGACGTCAACCGGAAGTGGACTTTTTGCATCACTGGGGAGTGGTTTGGTTGAAACTCTCGGGTAAAACGTCTTTATAAGAGAAAAGAAACTTAGAAATGCAAATTTTTTAGCGTTAACGCATATAAAAAGCAAGAAGGCCTCACTTCCGGTTGACGTGTGTCGCTCAAAAAACGTCTTTGCTTAAGCTCCCTAAGATACGACAACGGCGAAGTCAGTGAAAACCTCGCTGAAAAACAAAATTCAAGCAAATACTAGCAGGAAATGATTCCCTACCTGTAGATCCCGGTGGCTTCGGTTTGTTAGCTTGGGCAGCCGCATCTAAAAAAGAAAAAGGTTAACTTGAAGGAGAATATAATATTATAAATAGTGATTCAAGAAAAATCCAGGTGCTATAGCTCTCTTAGACCTCTGTCGTTCAACCCAAATGATCTTTGTTACTATTTTTTATGGAGTTAGAGCTCCGAAATCACCTTAAGGTCCTTATTTTTACAAATGAGGATGCAAGGAAAAATTGCCGGTTTATGTCAGAGACTTTCAGCTAAAATCTGGGGCAAAAACTGCCCGGAAGGAGGAGGGGGCCTTATGTTTTCTATGGTCCTTTCATTTTTCGGTCAATATCTGCATGCTTATATTAAATATGATTATGATTTCACTCACCACATTTGTACATAAGTCGGGCTTGTTTAACGTCCAGTTTACTTGGGCCTTTTCGCTGTCCAGTATCCACTGATGGGTCCTTGGGTACGATTGTCTCGACCCCAGGCCGGTTATTTCCCTGAAATTTTGAGTAGTGCATGAGTGATCCAAAGTCGTATTCTACTCCTCGACTGTCAATCACGCCTTCTGGCTGTTTTTCGAAATTGTTCTGTACCTCTTTACCTAAAATTAAAGAGATCGTGGGTTTAATTTAGTGAGATTAATTTCTTTTTGTAGCGAATTAGCGTATATAATGGAAGATTTTCTTCAGTTTGCGTCTACGTTGCCAAAGTAAGAGTATTTACAGAATTCACCTGGAAATTGAGTAATTTTAATTTTCAGTGGACAAAAGCCTTGAACCAGGATAATTTAAAGAATATTGCACTCTTTTTTTAACATTTTTCAAGGGCTAAAGATGTAATTAGTCATTTGTAATAACACCAAAGAAAATTTCTCATGGGAGTCAGAGAAAATGAATGTCAAATTTTACAAGAATTGAGAAAAAAAGAGGTAAAAGTCCGAAAACTTCATGTGTAAGATGTAACTTTGTAAAATTTGACATTCATTTTCTCGGGCTCCCAAAACAAATTTTCTTTTACAGATGACTAATTACATCTTCAGCAGTTAAAAAAATCTAAAAAAGAATGCAATATGCTTTAAATTATTCTGGTACAAGATTCTTGTCCACTGACAATTAAAACTACTCAATTTCCTGGTGGATTCCGTCATTATAATCTCTTTTCAGAAGTATTTTTCACCAGATGATAAACAGTAGCAATTGAAAAGTTGAATTAAAATTTCTATAAACGTTGTTTGACAGCATTAGTTGTGGTTAGGGATTCATTGGCATTGACTCTTTCTGTGAAGACTATTCAAAAACCTTCTCACAGTCGCCGCCAAGGTACCAAACTAGTTTCTTTGTCTCTTTTTCTTTGGAAAAAATTTGCAAACCAGAGGATTTCTATATGAATCACCAGCCGGGGTACCAAATTTTACGACCACGCCTGGTTACTTAGCAAAAATTACATATGGCTCCCAACAGCTCCAGTTCTACAACGTTGTCAGCTTCTGCAGATAATATAAGTCGTCTCAACAATCAAGCGAAAGAGCAATTGTATGTTTAACATATTTATAGTGACATTTGTTGGCCATAGGCATAAAGAATTAATCAGATAATAATGTGGAACATTAAGCATGAATAGAAAAACGCTACACCATACCGATCTGGTTATAATCAAACTACAATCCTGGGCAAAAGTCTTTGGGACAGTACTGCAGTATTCATATTTTTCTGTCATTTCTCGGTTTCCTCTTAAAACTGTGCATCCTTTTCGAAATTTTCTTGCAGTTCTCCCTCCCCCCACCCTACATAAAGTTGAAACACGGAAATTATTCTGGACACACGCGTCCAAAATTGTTTGTGGGGTGAGGGGAGGGCTTGGACCTGTGTGAATTGGAAAACGTCCCGGAAACGCAAAAGTGTCCCAAGACTTTTGTCCATGATGGTAGATAAGAGAGAAAAAAGAGGGAGAATATACAATAACACGCACCTGGCCGTATATTTTCCCAAAGAATTTTGACGTACTTGTCTCTGTCAGGTCGTGTGTGCTCGTGATAGAACCCAAGGGCGTGGCCAAGCTCGTGAGTTATGGCTCCTTGTTCACATGGAGGATCCCTTCAAGAAGTAAACAACGATGTCACTCAAAATGTACTTTGTTAGTCTGGACTTTAATTGTCGATGTGCTCTTTTGTAGGAAAAACATAAATGAAGTATTTAGACACAACTATGTATACAGTTATATACGATATAATTTTATAATACCACCCAGCAAAGAAATGTACATAAAGGGTGATGCCCTTGCAAAGTTGTTGCATTGCTTACCTATCGCTCTTTTCCCGTTCTCGTTGCCGTCTTCGTCATCTTTGCTTAAGCTCCGTAGCGTTAACCTTAGACCGCAGTAATTAAAATCTACCTTTCCCATTGCCTTTTCCTACGTATTTACCTGTCTGTTCCCGCGGCGGATTTAGGGTTGAAGCCGAGGGGACCGGGGCTCCCCTATTTATGAGATATTTTTTTAAATTATTATTTCTAAAGAATTGTCAGTAAAGTAAAACGTATCTATATAGCTGGCAGGTGTCCCGGCCACCTCTTTCTAAACTTTCTGGATTCCCCCCCTCCAACTTCTCAGCATAACTCACCGAGTAAAGCGTCCTATAGACAATTCTTGTCGCCTGCCGCCATATCCCACATACGACCAACACCTTCACACAAAAAAAGAGTCACTCATTTGTTCTCCTCTTGAACTTTACTGGACACTGTCAGACCTACCAATGTTGGGAGGATAACGAACGGGACCCATAAAAATATGCGAGGGGTCCTCCATATCATACTACACAAGCTATAAAAGATACACACTGCAAGGGTGGTCAGAGGTTGATGTGTCTCTGGTAGTTCCTTTACTTCACACATAATCAAATGCAAATCAGTGAATATGTCGTCAAAACAGGTTTTCCTTCGTTTGCCGAAAATATAAATACATCTGACCATCGGCAGATGTCAGGGGAGAGGTAACACATTCTCCTTGAAGTTATTTTAAGACATTGCGTGTTGGCCCGCCGAGAATCGAGCCGACACCTACCGGGCACTCCGAAGCCTGTTAACCAAGAAATTGAACTAACCAGATCGAAGTTTTGACATTAAAAAAAACAACAACTAAAAAGCACTTTTCTATCATTTCCATATAATTCGATTGTCTATTCTTGACAGAAGTTCACAGTACTTATCAAAGGTTTTGATAAAAGGTCGTCAGGACTCCCTACCATTGAACAATCTTTCCCGGCGTACTTGCAATTAAAGATCGTTGGAACCAAGACAGTTAGGTATTTAAGAGTCCTTGAGTTTAGATGGTTTTCGATACTTTTGACTTAATTCACGACAACTAGATTACAAAAGCATGAATCAGCATCGATTGCTTATGCACCTACCCTGGCTTATAAACGAACTGAATGTATCCCTTTTCTTTGTCTCTCGCCTTAAATTTGACACACACATGTTTTTCCCAGTCCTTCATAGAGTTTCTTATCAGTTGCCGTCCGTCAGCATCTATCCAAAAATCAAGTAAAGCAAATAAGGAACAAAAAGAATGACAATCCCACTCTAGAACTCAAATTCACTGAACTTGCTCTGTGTGCCCCGGGGGGGGGGGGACCCCGCATATGAATAAACGAACTGAAGTTTTCCCTTTTCTTTGTCCCTCCACTTAAATTTGACACCCACATTTTTTTCCCAGTCCTTCATAGAGTTTCTTATCAGTTGCCCTCCGTCAGCATCTATCCAAAAATCAAGTAAAGCAAATAAGGGGCAAAAAGAATGACAATCCCACTCTAGAACTCAAATTCCCTGAACTTGCTCTGTGTGCCCCGGGGGGGGGGGGGACTCCGCATATGAAAGGGGTGAGGATGCTCGTCAAAAATTTTGAATTAAACTCCTAAAGGAGACCGATCTGGGCGTGGCCCAAGATCGGTTTTGACCCCTAAAAGAGACCATGTTAAAACACAGAAAATATATATTTTCATATTTTTTCACGCGCAACCCTAAACAAGACCTTCACGGCTAAATATGATGGCTTTTTGCCCAGAACACCCTAAAAGAGACCAAAATCCGAAATTTACACTCCTAAGCGAGACGAAGAGCATCCTCACCCCTTTCATATGCGGAGTCCACCCCCCGGACTGTGTGCAATCCATGACAGAGATTTGCTTTACTGAACGACAACCACACAGTACTGTGTTTGTTTATCCTTGCTTAAATTATCATAGTTTTAAATGTACTTACGGGTTTTAAGAAAAAGAAGTAGGGATAATTCTTAAATATGCCATATAGGTACATGTGGTACCAGTGGGTATGGCCGTTTATTTTTATCTCTTTTGCTCTTCAATTGGGTACATGACTAACCACTGGGGCCTGAAATGGGTAAGGGTTGCACCAAATAGTCTGGCAATTTCGAGTCCTTAAAACCGCAACCTAACAAGTCTCTTCGCTAATAAGTGTCATGGATCATTTGTTTTTAACAGGCATTTTTTTTTTTTGCATAAAAGCTTCTCTGAATGTATGTGTTACCTATATTTTCACTTATCACAAACGGTATAATGCCGTTTGGCCAGAGGTATGCAGCGTTTCCAATGGCCCCTCTTGTGTACGCTTCCTGGTCCTGGGAGGAGTTGGGTGAGCGTATCTTGTTTTTTTCCAGTGCAAGGACTTGTTCGTCAGTTAAAGCCATATCTCCTTCGTAAAGTGCTGGCACATCATAAGTTTCTATCAACACAATAACAAAGTCAGTTTCTAACTGCAGTCGCAGTCGACAAAAATTGTAAACAATTAAAACCAGATCCGATTTCAGTCCCGTCCAAAGTAAGTATTCACATTTAGTACTAGATGGAAACGAGTTCCATTTCTCGCGAGGCCAAAACCCGAAAATCCCGTTGGTCTTTCTTTGCTCCGAAATGCTTGTTACGCAGGCTAGTGTTTTCTTAGGTCCATGACTAAGAACAAGTGCAAAAAACATCACGAGGTAGGGATATCAGAAGAATGAAAAACTGAAAGGACGCCCTAAAAGCGCCTAAGGAAGAGGCATACGAGAAGAAGTTACGAACACAAACTCGACCAATCTTGTGGTGATGAACCAAAACAGAGAAGATGAAGAGATAAGTTTTTCAATGGTGTGTAATCCATCTGAGGCTAAGAGCCTAAGTGAGTAAGGAAATAAGTAAATATTTATTTTCATTTGGTTGAAAGAAGGCAAAAAAAACACAGAGAAAACAATAATGATAAGGGAACAGAAATCCCTATCATTAAGTAACTCTCTTTTCAGAACAAAAAATGTGGTTGTCGATCAGCGAAGCCGGAAGCCTAATTCTGTTGGAGCTGTCGAATCTCCATTTAACGGCCTTTTTGTTCGGACAATCTGTATTTAGCAACCAACTGCTATAGCCCAGACAAAATTTTCGGTGAATCACAGTCACCGCGTAACCCGCCGTTCACACCGCACCGGATGAATTTTCAACCGGTTGAAAATATGACAGGCCACTTCGTCCACATGGAACCGTTCGATATTTTCGATCTGTTCACATGGTAATTTAAACGGCTAGACGTCTACGGTTTTCGTAAGGTTAACGTGGTTCCGTGTGAACGCAATACATAAACGCACGAATTTTTCCACCGCTCGAAAATTCGTCCGGTGCCGTGTACTTTAGCCTAAAAAAGTAGCCAACACTTCTTCTACTCCACTCTGTTTGAATTTATGGGAAAAAGGAATATTTTTTTTCCAAGAGATTCTCTCATAGCAACACTGACTCCTGACGTGCTTTAAATGAGTAGACTTTCACCACCTGTTCCTTTCGTACTGACAGAAGACATGCTTGTTAGATCGTGTCAAATCAGAAGATTCTCATGTGCGCGTAAAAATAACGTTTGAGCCACTTGTGGACAATCAAAGTATATATTCATATGTAAGCGAAGATGAATGAAACTTTAAGTTTTCAAGACACTTTGTGTGACATTCTTGTTTCTCATCGTTCACTACTCGCGCAGGGGCGGGAACCCGGCCACGCCCACTTACCACCACGAGCAACGGTTAATCTACCGGATTATAGGCAATTGGCGAAATATTAGCGAAAAATCTCTTGATCTGAAGTATAATGTATCACCGCTGAAATAAAGGATTAAGAGCTCGATTTCCCTGGCCCTTAAGGTGTTCAATATATGCATTTTTAAAATAATGTAAAGAATTATTTACCTTTTTTACCCAATGGCAATCAAAGACTCCGATTTCCGGGTTTCTTGATAAAATTCATTTTTTACATCAACCCTTGTGACAAGGTTTACTTTGAAGATGTCTGTATGCATTTCATTTTAGCATTTAATGAGGTGATCCCTTTAAAATTCGGGCAATCATCAAGCGGAGTGCCGCCAAGATTATGGCATCGCTCGCCGTACAGGATACATGGTGAATGATCATTTGATATCTGGATTAAAACTACTTACGAAACTTAGCACTCTGAAAACATTGTAAATTATAAAACAAGTGAACCAACCTTTGGGTCGAGCGTGAATTATGGCGAAAAATCCCACATACAAGACTATGAGGCAGTTCAAATGTCCTGTCATATCGAAAGGACTGACAATAATCGCTAGTTTTAAAGCTAATGCAAAATTAATGATCAAACTGACCAGTTTCTTTCGCATAGACTTCCAAAAGTTTGACGAGATGATCATTTTTAGCTTTACACCTTTTTCCTGAGAGATTTGGCTATCGACAGAAGACAAGAAAGTTATTCTGCACTCCTGATATATTTTCGACACACTAAACTAGCATATGCACGATTTACAAAATTCATTTTTTCCGAGAACGCATCAGTTGATATTCAGCTGAACGAAACAAGTTTTGTCAATCGCCTTTCCAAATTAGTGCCGAAAATAAAATACGTACAGAAAAATGTTTCTCCTCATGAAACGGTCTGTACCATGGCCGTCAAATTCATTTTGCCAATAGGGACCCAGTAAGATCAAATGACGGACGGCAACGAGAATAATAAGCAAACGGCAACAACTTCGCACGAGCATCAAATGCACTTTTTTGTACGATTTCTTTGCCGTATTTGCACGACTGAAAATGCCTTTTCCGCGTGTTATGAAGAACCTAAACAAGCAAAGACGAAATTTTATTTCTCTCTCTAAACTTGGATATGGTCCCTTGGAATTCAAGTTTAGGAGGTTTCGGCTACATATGACAAAGTAAGTGGGTATAGGGATCATTGCGATCAAGACGGAGAGAATGCAAATTCACTTTTTAGATTATTTTAGCGACGTTCTCTTTTCCGTCGCGTCGTTGGATCTTAAACTCCTATAATTGCCAATATTTCTTTGTTAGCGTTAACTTTCATAGCGCATACGTTATGCGCCGGCTATGAAAATTAACCCTAGCAAAGAAATTACTCGTCAATGACAAAATTACAGCTGCTGCTTGTCCAACAAATATGCCTTCTTAACGTTATATCAAACGCTACAACAACGAAAATGAACTTTGAAAAACTGTAATGTTAACATGTTTTCAATACCCACAATTGCAATCCGCTTAATCTCCTTCAGCTTTGTCCATTTGCCGTATTTATCTTGTTAATTATTTATACCTTCGTTTACTGTTTTAAGCGATATTTTTCCGTTTCCCTCAGTTTGGTGACAGTTACTACTGTTTGAGTTTTGAAAAACTTCGAGGTGACATAGCCTCCTTTTAAATGATCTTTCCACAGGTATTTGTTTAATGTCCTCTCTATTTTGGAGGTAAGAAATTCTTGCGAAATTTGTTGGTCAAACTGACTGTTTATTCTTCAATATTAAATTGTTCCCACGCATTTTACTACCCTGGTGTTACGACATTGTGCAAAAGTAGTTGGAGACCTAAATTAGGCGAAACTAAGCTATCCCAGGGAGAAGCAACTAATAAAAATAAAGGGAAACAGCAAAAAAAAAAAAAACAGCTGGTAGGCGGTTAACTACATGCACTGCCTACCTTAAATAATAAATTATTTTTCCAATTCGTTGTTTCAAAAAAGGTGATAAGATCGGAGACTCGCTCGAGAAGAAGTCTAGATATGAAGTTCCTTAATATTTTATCCCACAAATTTACATTTCAAGGCTTTAATGTAGTAACTACGAGAGAGACTTGACTTGACTTGACTTTACCATTTACTATCAAAGTCCGACGCGTTTGTTGTTGTAGAGGGCACTACCATAATTCTTATTAAGTGTAAGATGATGCATCTAATGCCTTTTCAAAGCTTCACCTGCGAGACATGATGTGAAAATCATTCACTTAATGAATCGAAGAGGATGCGGCTAAAATTGACAAAAACTGAGTAACGTCGTCTTTGTTCTTAATCCTCATTTCTTCAAAAATCTGAATTTCAAACATCAATATATAGAGGATGCCACTATAACTAAGATAATAATCGTGATAAATATACGGTGCATCTTCCGTCTTTAATGCGACTAATGTTTTATTTCTTTAATGAGCTCGATCCGGCGTTTAGCATAAAAGCTGATTACAAGTGAGCCGTCTCCCTCGTGCGAGAACGTGGGCTGAATATAAAATTAGGCATTATGTCTTTGGTTATTATATGTTAGTCATAAGATAAACATAGCTTCCATAACCTCTCTTCCAATTCACTAGTTATTTCCATTTCAGTGTTCTTTCGTTGTAGAACTACCATCACTACATTCAACTGCTTCATTGACTTTTTAAATACTATGTTTTCTATCGAACGAAATGGCCGCATCAGATGAGTAACCTAGTACAGGCAGGATATCAACATGAAAGGAAAAATTGGAAGGAAATACAAAAATACATGGAAACCATAAATTAAAAAGATCGATCACCTCGTGCATAACGAAATTATTTATCTGGTAAACATATTAATTCCTTCCATCGGTTGTATGTTAAGAAATATTCTCTTGAAGTGTCTTCTATAACTCGAGCTCTGAAAACCATAGAAAAACGGATTCAAGCACGAGTTAACATACATGATAAATCCTACAATTCTATAAGCTTTATACAATACTTCGTAGTTTTCTAAAATAGCCGCATAGGACTGAAAAGATATGTATATCTCAAACGTTAAAAAGGGGACGTAACAGAGATAATAAGTCAGCGTAACAGTAAAAGAGGTTATGGCCAGTTTTCGTTTTTCGTTCATGGCGGCGTGCAGAGAAGAGGCCGTTTCGGCTGAACAAACCGTTCTGTTGATAAATATTCCTTTTAAAATTTGAAAGTAGCAAAAGAATACGCAACCAGAAAAAAATGCTGACGAAACAGCGGTTAAGACGGAGAGCCATTTTATTTTACATGCCTTCTCAAGAGACCAGGGATCAAGACATCGTCTGCTTTGTTCGTCATATTCGCTAAAAATGAACCCGGGAAGCGAAGACATGATTGCCATCACCCAAATTGTACCAACGATATAGTACATGGACTTGTTTGAGGCAACTAGAGGTTGTTTAAAGGGTTTAACAATTGCATAATAACGCTCCAACGCTAACACCACCAAACTTTGATAGGTAACCGAAACAGTCAGACAAGTGACAGCGTAACCTGTGAAAAACTTGCAGATGAGGTCGGCCGCTCTTCCTGAGACGTGCTTACCCGACAAGTTAATAGCCAAAGGTATGGGACACCAGATTAACGAGATGATATCTGCGAAGGCAACATTGACCAGTAGGATGTTTGTAGGAGTAATCATTGATCTTGTTTTTCCGACGATGGTTATGACAAAGCAGTTCCCTAGAAGACCTATAACGACGATCAGCGAGTACAAAATAGCCAGTGTCACGTTAAATGATGACGCGGAGTCGTAGAAACTGTATGTGTTTAAAGACAAATTTGCCATTTTTTTTTATTTTCGATATTGAAACTGAGCAGCTTAGATAAACCCGTGTCCAGCTCCTTTTTGATGAAGAATAGAAGCGCTACCTCGATTAGAAATGGGCGGATATCAATATCTTACTTTTTTTTCACTGAGTTCTTGATTAAACTATTGACAACTATTGGCCACTGAGTGACACAGTTAAACCCTCACAAGTTGCCATGCAGCTGCAGCGCGGAAAATCTCATGTACAATTATAAAAAAAGAGAGCAGCTGACTCAGGCTTTCAGTTGAATAAGACCCCCAAAAACACAAAAGCAATAAAACAAAGACAACACCAAAGAGTTCAAGTTTTACCGTTGAATTTTAAGGCCACATCACCAACTTAACAGAATGGAAAACACCCTGACGAAATTTCTCCTTCTTTCCGGGTGGTTTCGTGATGCTATTTCCTAGCTCCGTTTCGTGTTTATATTTATTTCTCCAATCGATCCAATATTATACGTGGCAAGTGGGAAATGGAATTAATGTCAGTTAAAAGAGAAAGATATATGTAGAATACTTCATGGAAAGTGAGGGCGTACGGTATCTACGCACGAGTTGTTGACGTTGAGACATTCATCATGATTTTGGCAGCTTAGTTATTTCAAATCTTTCCAAAATTAAAATGCTAAAATTTGCCGCTACACACCGCGAAATGACAAACAAAACGAAGCATCAACTTATTAGTAAAACGTTCTGTTTCCCATCCCGCTTCCATCCCAATTATCTTCATCGACAGAGAAATACACGAAACTATTCCACTTAGATTTCGGAGATGCTTTTCACCTTTTTACGAGAAGAACTCTTCGAGAAAAACTTTTCTAGTTTAATGTCAAAGAAGCACTCGCAAAACGAGGGCGCTGTAAGGTGCAAGCGCCTGCTATAAAAGGCGGGAATTTTGGCGCGAAACTCACACACCTCTGTGACTTCTGATTGGACGTATCATTTTTCTCACCCGTGTGAAACCACCGTTCGCGATTCTGATTGGACGTATCATTTTTTTGCACGAGTGAAAACCATCGTTCGCTCCTTTGATTGGCTAGAGCTCATTTGCCTATGGTTTACGACATAGCTTTTTGGTGAGTATTTCTCAGTATGTATATAACAAATTAAATACTATATATTCAGTAATTCACAGAGGGACCAGAATCAGTAAACGTTTTGCGCGTTTCACCACACAACTGGCCGTTTTTACACCCGAAAAGGAGCCTAGTCCTTAGCCTGTGAAAACAGCCGTTTCTCCTCGTCCCAGCGGCGAGGAGCGAGGGGAAACAGCTGTTTTCGCAAGCTACCTAGTCCCAAACTCGGATATGAGTAAAATACCTAGTGCACCTAACGCTGATTAGCACTTGCTGTGTCCGTGTTATTGACCCTACCAGTACCCATGTCTCTCTTTTATAAAGAAAGACCTGCAAGCATGTCCGGAGGAAACGAGGTTGGTTTTCACATTACGTCACTAAAAAACTATCGATCCAACCGAGATTTTACTTTCACGATGCATTAGAGCAGCTGAAAACTAATTTTCATACAAATTTTCGCTTCAAAAACGTTCTTGGTTTTGTGATAAAGTACGCTTGAATTTCTAAGCTTTTGCGTGACGCGGCATTATTTCAGGAAATTTTGCTATATAAACAGTTCATGCATTAGAAAAAGTATTACTTTAATGTTTATGAGTTTCTCGAAGAATAAATTCACGCTTTTGTAGCAAAACTCGTTAGCAGATGTTTCTGTTGGTTTCCCGGGGGGGGCACTTGGGTATTTTTTGGGTGGCTATGTGCCGCCTGGGACTCCAAATCGTCACCCCGTTCTAGAAAAAAAGTTCCCCTAAAATTGATACCCCGTTCTAGAAATGGGCCAATTTTTTATACCCCGTTCTAGAATTCGCCCTAAAACTGATACCCCGTTCTAGAAATGGGCCAATTTTCTATAATCCGTTCTAGGGTGCAACAAAGAGTACAACGGTTTGCTTGTTAACGCACTGAACCGTATTTTTAAAAGCAATCTGTCCTTGAATACTTTCAAATGGCTGCTTACAAAAGTGGAGCCCTCATGCGTTCGAAATATTATACCCCGTTCTAGAAAACGCCTCTGAAATGGATACCCCGTTCTAAATCAGGAGCTTCAAAATCACGACCCCTTTGGGCGGCACATACCCGTATAGGTAATGTATGGGAGTACCCCCCCCCCCGGGGGGTTGGTTTCCGTCCGCCATGTTGGAGCTCATCCAGGTGAGCACCGGCATGGCGTCTCCATACAAATCTCTATAAGTTTGGGTAACACATTTCTTCGGATATCTCGTATACGAAATATTCCTCAATCCTGAATATTGGCGAGGGTCTTTGTATATGTACCTCTTTCAGTTCCCAGATTCTGGACTTTATCTATTGAACGGTTTTGATTTTTACTTTGATCTATTTTGAATGGCGTGACACTGAAAACCAACAATACAATCTAAATGAAACAAAAGAAATAAAGTAATCACGGTGACTATTGCAATCATTAGTATCGGCTAACAAGAGGGTCGTGAAGGGGTAAAATGTGAACTGGGATTAGCCTTATTGTGGACTGGGAAAATGGGATTTACTCACTGGGACTGGGATTTAGCCACTGGGAATGGGATGAACAATTATAAAATGGGAATGGGATTTCTTTTCTTCAGCGGTCTTTGCTCCAATATTTTGAAATAGAAAAAAAAAATTTCGTAGCAATAGACCTTGCACTCCTCAGTAGAGACCGTGAAATCAGTATTTTTCGCCTTCGCGCCCGCGGTCTAGCTACCAGCTAGCAGTGAAAGCGGAGACAGTGAGTCAGACGAGGATTGTGCAGATGATAGAATTGGTTTTCATATGGTTATGTCAACAAGGGCTGGAAGAGAAAGAGTGTTCACCAGCAGAATGAGAGATTTTCTTCAGTCTAGGTGAAGATACGTGTATCCAAATAGCGTCAATCAGTGCTTTTAATTTATTATGCGCATGATTTTGCAAATAATCATTAGTAATAGGATTTTAGATTCGGTAACTGGGATTTTGGCAAAAATTAGCCTGGGAACTGGGATTTGGGCCAAATTTAGGCTGGGAACTGGGATTTGGTACCCCCCTTCACGACCCTCTAACAATAACGCCAGCAGTATTGTACGTAGCCTGTTCCAGGGTCTCAGATATTAAGTGGGGAACGCGCAAAGCGAAAGGTACGCGAAAAGAGGGGGGGGGGGCAGTTTCCTCCCGTACTATTTTCATGTTCGTGCTTTCTCAATCCCCGCGGATCCGACTATCTCGGAGCCTGGAACAGGCTATTTGTACTCGACTTGCCTAGTAAACAAAGCGTGACATATTATAGTCACGTTGTGTTTCGTCAGTGCTGTCCTGTTTCAGTTTAAATGGCCCCTAACTTTTTGCTTCTGAGAATTATCTTGAGACGATCTGCTCGGGACATGCACGAAATAGCATGAGTGGTTCAGACTTTCAATCCCTATTTGACCTAATTTGCATGCGTGTTTGTCTACGTACGTGTCGTTAATGAATTCCCTTGAGAAACAAAACACTGATTAATAAATCCGTTAACGACCGAATAGTAAACAACACAGAATCATGATCGTTGTATGCTTTTCTACAAAGAATGAAAGCACTTTACCGTAAGCTGTCATGAAAAGAACAGCAAAAGAGGAAGTAAAGCGAGGAAAGCATCGCGGCGCTCATCATAAAGTTGCTCCTTCTAATGGAGACGTAAAAAATGACAAGCTACCTGGTGGCCAAAAGAAGTCCAAGCCGTTACGAACGTCGGACAGCAAGTTACATCAAGATGATTTGGCGGAAAAGATTCCCAATGGACGACTTCCTCCGTTAGTTCCTCACGTTAGAATTTCACCAGAGAAAAGTAATGATATTGAACTTCAGGAAAGTCAAGTTGAAGTTAACAGGAATCGAGGGGTTGACTCACAATCGGGATCGAAAGGCTTATCGAATGTTGTGAAAGACGACATGTCACCACGTGCAACAAGCCCGGCCACGAGGCGAAGAAACGATAATATGACAAGCTACGAAAAAATGCTGCAAAGAGAGAAACGGCGAAGCCGTAAGATGTCTGGATCGTACGCCATTTTGCACGGTGAGGCTGAAGATCATGACCTGGATTCTGCGGACGATCACTTTGACGCTCTGGTCGTCGAAGACGAAAGAAACATTTCCCGGTCGAATTCTTCGCTTCAAAGTCGTCGGTCATCTGGGACACCATCCAGGCAAGACCCGAGCCAAGCCTTGCTACAGTATTTTGCCAAGTTGTCAAGCTCTGTTGATCTGGATGATCCACTAGATTTTAATTACATCCAGTCGTTGTTACAAGAAGGGGCTTCAGTAAACACCAGTGACCGCTTTGGTCAAACGTTACTTCATGAAGTATCCAGAACTTGGGGATTAGATGTTGCACAGTATTTTCTTGACCAAGGTAGGTCTGGTTATTAGCTATGAGAAATAAAAGAAGTTTAAGTCTGTTTGCTTTATGCGAACATTGTTAACAGTAAAAAGTATTCAAGTTTTATATTAGCTTATTTCATGAATCACACATTTTCTTTTGTTATTCAATATCCTTTATTTAACTTACATACTTCATGAATATTTAACTAACTGAAAGTCCGGGGAGGGCTTGATAATAGGGAACTTAAGAACCACGACGAAGTTCACGACGACGACGTCTGTTGACTGGGAAAGGACTGGAACGAGAACGTCAGTTTCGGCGGGAAAAAGGAAACTTAAGATGCAGTCGATCGGTAGGTCGACGACGACGACACTGAATGTAAACAAACATCTAGAAGTAGTACAACTGTGATGTTCGTTCGCAACAACGTTTTTTCGCAAAGGCGTCTTTTAAGACGATGCAAGATCTTATTTTATAAGCCGTACGTCTACTTTCATTGACGATGAAGAATTTTTAGTGTTGTCTGACCTTTTCGAATGGAAAAATCTCTGCTTTCCGTACGAAGGTTATTCAACGTTCAACCTGAATGACATGACCGAGTCCGATTGTCTGTCAGAGTTTAGATTTGGAAAAAGAGACATTCCGATGCGATAGCTCTTTTCTATATAAAGTTCATTTCCTCTATCTTAAAGATATATGATTTGCCTGACCTAAATACGTACAAATAAATTTGTCACTTACGAGTTCGCTCGCTCGGCCTGCACAGCTCAGTGTTGTCTTCGAAGTAAACACAATTCATCAGTCAAATTTTTCAACATCGCTTGTTAGCAGAAAAAAGAAAGGATACCTGGATTTACGAGGTGAAAAAATACAAAGCCCTTGAAAAAATCGCTTAAAAACAG